TACTGAAACAGCATTTATTTTCTTGTGTGTCTTTTTTTTTATTATTAAGGTGACCACATGCCTCAGAAATGAATTTTAAAATTTCAGACAATTCTTAAGTAGAATTCGTTTTGCAGATACAAACCTTAGACTCTGGTAATAAAGTGGAATTGTACTTGAACTTGAATAAATGCAAACATCTCAGTAGGTATTGATTCTAATAAGCAAAGGCACTACCTGTGACCAGAAGATGCCAGGTATATGGCATAATGATATTTCTTAAATGCAGCAGTATAGTATCTAACTATTTGGAGTCTTTAAACTATATCACAGAATAAAGCACAATTCTAAGGTTCCTTCTCACTGATTTCATCTCTTAATAAGTCCATATGTCCAGTAATTACATGGTTTAGTGCAAACTTTCTAGATATCAGAATGCCAAACACATCATTATCACTATAACCTTTTCTCCTGATATTGATCATGCAGAAATTTTCTGTATTCTTCCGTTGGTTTTTGCAAATATTAAAAATTATTTCCTTACGCAAACTTCAGGTATACTGAAATATCAACCCTACACAATATCCTTTCCAAAATACATTCACTTGTGGTGTCTTAGCAAATATTCAAAAGAGAACAATATATCTAACAATTGGAAGTAATAAAACAACTCTTCTGTTAACAGATTAGCAGTTCCAATATAACACAATCTTGAGTAAAAGATTATGTTTGACTACTTTCTTTTAAAGTACTTGTTTCACTTAAGTCTAAAGATGTCAGCTAGGCTTTCTAAAACATCCACATGTTGACAAGAGAAGACATTAATCCCAAAATATAATTTGAAAACAAATGGAGAAAACATCAATCATCAAATTAATCTCTAATAGAGCAACTAATGATTCAGTATTTATAAAATCAGCTGACTTTTAATATGTCAGAAAAACAAATGAGGAAACAAATGAAGAAAATGCCCTAGTCATCCTTATTGAAAGAGAAGACTAACCTGAACAACTCCTGGTTCTTCTTTGCTTGCATTTACCTTATCAGATACCAGAAGAGACTCACTTTTTCCACAACTCTCTTCACTAATGAGTGTGTCTGCATAGTTGGGCTGAGGGAAAATCAGGTGACTCCTCCTGGAATCAGTGGTGAGGGAGACCTGGTGGGAATAGGTTTGCAGGAAAGCCTGCACCCCATCCATACCCACAAACTGTGAGGTGGGCATTACTCCCAATCCATCTCCTGAAGCCTGGAGCAGGCGTGACTTGTGCCAGCGCTGCAGCCTGAGTACCAGCAGTACAATGACAAAGATAAGGAAGACACAGGATACCAAGGCCACTGCCACCACCAGGTGCAATGTGAGGTCTGAATCTTCCAGGCTGGCAGGGGTCTTGATGCTATCCAGGTCAGTTAGGACTTCAGGGATACTGTCAGCTACTGCCACGGTGAGTGTGACAGTGGCTGAGAGAGGGGGCTGACCATGGTCTTGAACAGCCACCACAAGGGTTTGCTTCAGTGCATCTCTGTCCAGCAGGACCCGCACAGTGCGCACCTCGCCCGTGTGCAGCCCCACAGAGAAGAGTCCTGGCTCACTGGCCTTGAGCAGGCGGTAAGACAGCCAGGCATTCTGGCCCGAGTCTCTGTCCACTGCCACCACCTTGGTCACTAGGTAGCCAGGCTCTGCAGAGCGGGGCGCCAGCTCCACACCTGTAGAACCATCTGTAGGAAGGGCAGGGTACAAGATCTCAGGTGCATTGTCATTCTGGTCCAGCACAAACAGGCTCAGTGACACATTGCTGCTGAGTGGAGGGTTTCCACTGTCACTGGCTGTCACCCACAGCTGCAGGTCTCTTAACTGCTCATAGTCTAAGGACTGAAGAGCATATAGAACACCAGTGTCAGAGTTAATAGACACATATGAGGACAGAGGAACTCCCTGAAATGTGTCTTTGACCAGGGAATAAGTGACCTGAGCATTCTCACCACTATCAGGGTCATGAGCAGTCAAAGAGAAGATAGAGATGCCTCTGGGGTTGTTTTCTAGGAGGGAGGTGGAGTAGGAGGCATGAGAGAAGGCAGGTGGGTTGTCATTGACGTCTGTTACTTTCAGAGAGATGCAGTCTTCTGTAGAGAGGGGTGGGGTTCCATGGTCAATGACGGTTATGGTGATATTATAATCTGAAGTCTCTTCTCTGTCCAGGGTTTTTGTTGTTAATAAGTGATAGTAATTATCAACTGACTTTTCTAATTTAAAAGGCAGGTTTCTGGGAATAGAACATGTAATCTCACCATTCTCTCCAGAATCACCATCATGTACCCTAAACAGTGCAATTACAGTTCCAGGAAGACAGTCTTCAGACAGAGAACTTGTGAGAGAGGTGAGGATCACTTCCGGGGCATTGTCATTCACATCCTGCACTGAGACCAGTACCTTGGCGCTAGCAAGAAGAGCACCTCCATCCTGAGCTACCACTTCCATGAGGTAGAATCTGGATTCTTCATAGTCCAGTGATTGCATAGTTGAGATTTCCCCTAGGTTGGAATCAAGTTGAAAAGTCTCTAAAATTTTGTCGTCTTCGTTGTGGAAAGAGTAGGTCAATTTCCCGTTTATTCCCTCATCTGGATCAGTGGCGGTTAGCGTGAGGAGCTGAGTGCCTATAGGTATGTTCTCCGGAACACTGACTTTGTATTCGGATTGAGTAAACAGGGGAGCGTTATCGTTAGCGTCGAGAACCATCACGTGGATATGCGTGGTGCCAGAGAGTACCGGGTCTCCGCCATCTAAAGCTGTGATGAGGAGGTTGTGAACAGCCTCTTTCTCACGGTCCAGGGGCTGTTTTAACACCAGCTCCGGGTACTTTTGTCCATCAGTTCCGCTTATAACATTCAGAGAGAAGTGTGGATTGGAGCTGAGCTGGTAACTCTGGAGGGCGTTCACACCCACATCTGCATCCCGCGCAAAGGGAAGCACTAACCGGGTTCCCACAGCCGCATTTTCATTAATTTTAACTCTTACTTCTTCATCTCGGAATCGAGGGAAGTTATCATTAATATCGAGTATTTCTACTTCTACTCCATAAATTTTCATTTTATTCTCAAGCAAAATGTTAAAACTCACCAGACACCGCGCACTCTGAGCGCAGAGCTCCTCCCGGTCTATCCTGTCCTTGGTAACCAAGCTGCCGCTTTGGTGTTTCAGAGAGAAAAGCTGCGTCCTACTTTTAGAGACAACGCGGACTCCCCGCTCCACCAGCTCCTCAGGCTCCAGCCCCAAGTCTCTGGCGATGTTGCCCACGAAGGAGCCTTTCTCTAGCTCCTCTCTCACCGAGTAGCTGATCTGTCCGGATCCCATCTCGTACAACGTTCCCAGGAGCATAAAGAGCAGAAGCAGCTCTCTGCAGCACCAGCGTCTTGGTGGATTCCTCATTGCTTTCTCTCTGCCCAGTTATCTCCTAGTCCTGGTTCAGTCTGGCTGTTTGCTTATATTTCTAAAGCGGATGGCTACACATACCCTGACGAATATTGGACCGGGATGTGGCTGGTTGGTTTTTCCCGGGAGCTTGTCTGATCCGTGAATTGTAAGGAAGAAGCTGAGTCGGGTCGCCTCTGCGACAGCATCTTTCCCACTTGAGTGAACAGCGACACTCAGAGTCCTAATCGGTTACTACACCAATTCTATTGTTTCTTGTAAGTTCAATTATATTTTTGTTTCTAATAATTTTGCCATATCGTAATTGTATTATTGCATGACATTGTTTATAATAATTAATGTTTAATTCTGAAATAGCAAAATGACTCCCACAAACCATTGAGATCAATATAATTATTAGACTCATTTTACTTTCTAAGGGAAGTTTTACTTAATGTGCCACTGAGTATATGTTCTTTATTTACCTCTTACCTATATTTTTTCCATAAATTAGGACATTGAAATTCTTACCTTTGTAGAAGATTTCATCTCTTTATGAAACTATGCTTATTTGTACATAAGAACGTCAAGGAAAGAAATTCAGCTTTCAACGCATCTTTACAAAAAAGGCCTATTAATTTCTGCAAGTTATGTTAAAGTCATACGCAGAAAGAACATAGGTCTGTGTTATTTGTGAGGTCTTTGAGAAATATCTTCAGTTCATTATCTCAAACTGAGAGTTTGGGTTGGGCTAACCATGCATTTATTTCCTATTACCATGTTCAAATACTTGTAGTTGGACATTTTAAAGTAAAAAGCTCTTCAGGGCAATCAGTATAGGGACAGTAGAGGACAGATCATCATCCACACAGGAAAGCATGCCCAATAAGCAGTAGTGACCTTTCTATGTTGAGACAGATGTTAACGTTATCATTTTTATGTGGCAACAGAAAAAGAAAAGCTCTGTGACCGAAAAAAAATGGAATTTGTATAAGTTCATCAAGAGAAGCAATTTTACTTCTATCTTCATAGAAAACTAAGAAAATGAAAATATCTATATTTATTTTAGATAATTCATAAACAAAGTTTTAAGTAATATCTCACAGAAAATGTGACTAGATTGCAAATTTTTTCCCCAAGTGTTAAATTTTCTCAAGAGCAATTCGTTAACGTGTACATTAAAGCTCATACCTCTAACATTGCCCATCCTTTAAAAATAGATCTGGTAGCCCAAGACATTTAGCGTGTACAAATACTTGAAGTGATGGTTTTCAAATTGGAACAATGTCCTACTCACGTAGTGTGGTTAACAAGCCATGACATTGGTTAAACCCTTCCTTTCTTTGGTCCCAATTTTCTACAAACTAGTAAGATAAATGATTTGAGTAATAAAGACCCTGAAAGTGAAAGAAATTCCTTAAAGTCACAATAATAATAAACCTCCAGAGGGAAGGGATGTAAAGAAAGAAAAAGAAGTACAGTGGAGTATTTCATGTGGTAAAGGCTTGTAATTATGGATAAATAGATATGACACATCAGGCAGAAAACTCATATTTAAGATTTGTTTAGATAAGATTAGGATAATTAAAGCAATACACTGCCCAAATCCAACTCACAAGGCAACACAATATGCAATGGAGCCTTCTACCCAAGTGAAGCGATTTGTGAAAGTAAATGAATTAAAACTCACCTTTGAAATAGAATTCGAGTCGAATGGCGCCCCAGTGTCTTCATGATTTGTACCGGGTCGCAAAGACTCATTGTCACAGAGGAGATCCTGAGGAGGAGCCATTTCCGCAGTCACATTGAGAAAATTAAACTCTGTCTTCGCTGATTGTGAGGCAACACACAAATTGTAGGCATAGGGCAATGTTCCCTCATTGTAATTGGGGAGAACTCCAGGTCCAGACTTGGAGCCGAGTCCAGGCTGAAAACAGCTCCACGCAGCTGGGCTGGAGGAGCGTCGCAGGCGCAGAGCAATAGCCAGAATCACCGCGAGGAGGAA